AGGAAATGTCCTCATCACAACATTCCTAAGTGGCAAATAGTTCAACATTGTTATGAAAGTTTGTCGGAAAACTATAGAGGCATGGTTGACGCCTCAATAAGAGGTTCTTATTTGGATAAACATGAAGATGATGTGTGGCATTTATATAAAAGCATGAGTGAAAACTCAATGCATAGATCATTGTTTTCTAGAAATGGTAGAAATGTGAATGGAGGAAGGAAGAATTCAAGTTTATATCAAGTGAACAATTCTAATGAGATAGTTGCCGAGGTAAAGTCTTTAACTCAAAGGTTTGATCAATTTTTGATCAATCAAAATTTGGCTCATCAAGTGTCTTCCTCCCCTAATCATCATCATTCTAGTGAGTCTTGCATAATATGTTCACGTGTGTTACATACTACTTCCAATTGTCCCCATGGATATGTGCACAATGAGTATCATGAACAAGTCAATGCCGTATTTGTGAATCAAGGGAATAATCTCTATGGCAATCATTACAATTTCAGGTAGAGAAATCACCCAATTTTTCTTGGAAAAGCCAAGGGGAAGGTTCAAACCCTCCCCAAGGTGGTTTTCAAGGGAAATATGTTCCACTCCACATGCAAGGCCAAAATTCTCAAAGCTATCGTCCGTCCTATCAAGGACCCAATGGAAATCAATTTTAAAACTCTCATTTTCCAAATCAACCATCTTATTTCCAAAGTCATTCAAGAAGTATCGCTTTTGAGGGAAAAGTTTTATCGGCTTTAGGTACTTTGGAGGCATACACTCAATTGCTTCATTCTCACTCCCAACCAATTGCCAAGCTAAAAACCTAAGTAGGGCAAATAGTTAGCACATTGAATGTGTGATACCTCTCAATTCTAACACCACGGGTGATCAAGTCTGAGCACAGATCCGAGGGATACCAAACAATTAAGTATTTTAAATGGAACACAAAATACAAAAATAAAGAATAAATAATTTACTGAAAAGAAACTAAATGATAATCCTTGAATTAATAAATAAATAATCCTCCAATAAAACATATCCAAATCCTCTGATATCATTACAACTCGGGAATCCATCCAGTGCCCCTAATAATATCCAACTAGAAAATAACTGAAAATGAAAAGAAACATAAGATAAAGTCTTACGTCGAATCGGAAGAGTAAAAGACTGTCTCTGTTCGGCATGAACAATCTCTAAGACTGGAACTGTCGAACACCTGAAAAATAATAGTAGGTCAGGCCCACGAACAAGTTCTACTCTACTATAATCCAAATAGAGACCCGATACATATATACATCCTAAACAACTAAAAAATAGCTATATAGTCCATATGTATATATACACCTACTAAGGGACTCTCATTGGACTACAAGGCAGTGTCAACCTGACTAGTAGGTAACATGCAAAATACACCTGAAGTGGGCATGAGTACCTAAACCTAACAGGATACACCACTAACCATCATTGCCAGCTATGCATCCCACTGCATATACGCTCCATAACCATCGATCTTGAGACTCAAGCTCATATTATGACATATATCTATACATATATAAATCCACCCACAACTATGATATGTCATTCAACTGCTCATCGACCTGACACGAATATAAGTAGGAGTTAACATTGTAGTTAATCCATTCCCTTATTCCAGAATAGGTAGGACTTAGCTTTTTAAGCTAATCCGTCCCTAATATGCTACTGTCTTATACCGGTGCATATAATCCACAAGATCTAATAATTGATAGAACAAAATAAAGTAATTCATCAATTAAAATCCAGAGAAGAGTATAATAAAAAATCAGATATGTAACTAAGCACATTATATTGTAATATACAAGAGTAACTTATAAACACCCATTTAACTTGCTAGCCTGACGGTAAGCAATTAAATCCTTTATACCCATTAACAACATGCAAATCTAATTTTAAATTTCATGATGTTCAAGATCACAGCATAATAGCATAAATTAATCATTCTGGAATTTTAGCATGTTCATTTAAATCATTTAAAACCCCCATGAAAGTTCAGAATCACATTATAGCTCCTGAAGACCCAAAAATATATTAAAAATACACCTACAGGTGTATTCCTAGCAAAGGAGCTGGCTCCCTTCAAAAAGGAGCCGGCTCTCACTTCATGGAGCCGGCTCTAAACAAAAAAAGAGCCGGCTCTCTCTCATAGAGAGCTGTCTGTAGAAAACAAAAAGGAGCCAGCTCTATCCCTGTTTCCCATCATCTTCTTCGCCTCTGGCAATGTTAAATCTCTCTGTATTCCTCTGTTAAGGTTCCTAAGGTTCTAAACTATGTTCCAAATCATTCCAAAAAATCATATAAACCCAGTATGCATCATTAACCAAATTAAAACACATAATCATAAACAATTTATAAGAGAAATCAATTTCAATGAAAAACACATAATAAAGTTTAAATTTTGAATTAACATGCATACAAGACCAATTTTAATGTCTGATAAATCCTAGAGATTACCTAGGCATGTACAGAACACAAGCCTAAGGGAAGGAGATAGAAGAAGAACTTGCCTATAAGATTTCAGTTTGAAACCTTTAACTGTCTTCTTCCTAGGTTTTCTGGCAACTTCGGCCTGCCGTTAAGACTCTTTGTTGCTCCTGGTTTAACCCACAAGCAAGCTTTAATAACCCCTCCTTGGTTCAGCCCTTGTTCTTGGCCAAAACCCTAATTCTCCCTCTTTCAGTTTATCTCTAAAGCTCTCTGTATTTTTCTGCCTCCACTGTTGCGTGAATAGGTTTCTAAACCTTCGGCAGACTATACACAAGCATATAAAGGCTAATATAGTTTAACTTAATTCTAATTACCTAAGGAGAAGGAAAATAAAAATAAAATAAAATAAAAAAATAAATAAATATATATATATATATCTGCACCCTAAACTAACCGTGTTATCATATATATATATATATATACACACACACACACAATAACCAATGACCATTATAATTATATAATTTATAGTATATATTGAATATCACTACTAATGTAACTATTAATAATAATTAATAATTAACATAACCTTATATACATATATACCCATATATATATGTACCACTATCCATGGGTAATAATTGTACCCATTTAATCTCCTATCCAAGTAGTCCATGTGACCCAAACGGTTGGTCCATTACTACTATCCAAGCCCAACTCCTTTAAAATAAAATAAATAGAATAAACATTTAATTAAGACAATTAATTACAACTAAAAACTTAGCACACATCATCTAATCACATTATTTAATTAACCAATTTATTCAAATAAAACAACAAATAAACAATTAGACAATTAAATCAATTTCACAAATAACCAATTAGCTAAATAATCACATAATCAAATAAAAATGCAATTAAACAATTAATTAAATAACGAGACTACCCTTTTAAATTAGGGGTATTACAGAATGCGAGGGAAAAAAGAAAAATGCATCTTAATCCCTTACCTAAGCAACAATTTGTAGAGGAGACCACTTCCCCTTCGGAAGGTCTTTCACTTAAACAAGTAAATGCGGTGACCACTTTAAGAAGTGGAAGGGTGATTGATAATCAAGTTAGTGAATCTAATGCAGAGAGTGAACCGATGCAACCTAGTGTTGACACCTATCCCGTTTCACATCCTATTGCTCATTCATTTAGTGAAAAGGACCTCATTGTTGAAAATTCTTCATCAAAAGTTTTTGAAGAATCTTTTGAGCCAAAAGCTCCATTTCCGGATGCTTTAAAAGCGTCCACATCTTTTGAAAAGCAACAACGTAAGGTGAATGGAATCATTGATGTGTTTAGGTAAGTTAAAATTAATCTTCCTTTCTTGGATGCAATTCAACAAATTCCGGCCTATGCCAAATTTTTGAAAGATTTATGCAATCTAAAGAGAATGAATAAAAGCCAAGCACCAAGGAAAGTTATCCTTACTGAAAAAGTAAGCTTTATCTTGCAACACAACACTCTTCCCAAATTCAAAGACCCCGGTTCACCCACTACATCTTGCATTATAGGTGACCATGTTATTAATTGGGCTCTTTTGGATTTAGGGGCGAGCGTGAATCTTCTTCTATACTCAATATATGTCCAATTTGGCTTGGGCGATTTTAAGCCAAAGTCGGTAGTTTTGCAACTAACCGACAGATCTATCAAAAAATTTCGGGGTATAATTAAAGATGTTTTGATTAAGATTGATAAATTTTTCTTCCCGGTTGATTTCATAGTCATTGACACGGAGCCAGTTCCTAATCCAAAGAGCCAAATCCCAGTTATCCTTGACTGTCCCTTCTTGGCTACCGCTAATACCAACATTAATTGTAGGATGGGGATAATGAAGATTTCATTTGGCCATATGAAGGTGAAGTTGAATATTTTTAATCCAACCCCCAATGTAATGGACAAGCATAAAGAGATTTTTGTTATGGAAAAAAGTTTTGAAAGCAAAATTGACAAAAATGAATCAGCTCCTTGTTCTGAAAAATCAAATGTTTTGTCTTTGAATCAATCTTTAAAAGATGTCTTGAATTCCAATGTTGAAAGGGCATGGAAGCCCAAAAATTTCTTTGATCAGAAGCCGTCAAGTGCACTTGAATTAAATCCAATAATTTCCTTAAGGAATGATTTATTTGATGGGATTCGAAGTTCAATTTACCGCGTTAAGAAGGGGATGTCGTTGTCTAGATATGTTTCGAGTTGATCATTTAAGTTTCCGGGCAGTTTTATGCATTTCCTGCACTTTTAATGTCATCTTCGATCGATCGAAAACCCCTCTTCGATCGATCGAATAGACCTATTTTGCCTCATTTCGATCGATCGAAGTTCATTTGGATCGATCGAAGCTCCTAAAATCAAGCTATTCATCTTCTATTTCTATCGATCGAAGTACCTTTCTATTGATCGAAGACCTCTTCGATCGATCGAGATTGCGTCTTTTCAAATTCCGAGAAAACTGCTTTGGCTGTTGGATTTCCAAACCCTAATTTTTTATATTTATTTTTCCTTCTTTCTCTCTGCTCCTTTTACCTTTCCCTTTCTTTTTCTTTTCTTTTTTCTCTCTCTCTACCTTCTAAACTCTCGGTCTCCCATCTTCTTCTCTTTCCCCGAATCTCTTCTCCCTCTCTAATCCTCTCAATCTCTCAATCTGTTCCTCTCAACCTCCGGCGACCGAACCCAACCAACCTTCGTCCACCTCTTTTCCGGCGAAATCCCTGAGGAAATCTCAAGCCGCCACCATCCACCATTTTTTTCCGAAGAAGAACTCCTGGCCATGGGCCGAGTTCATTCACCTCTCTCTTCCCCATCTCTCTATTTCCTCTAAAACACTCTTCTCCGGCCGATTTAGGCCAAGGAGAAGCCGAATCGTATTCGGCGACTCTCTGTATTTTCCGGCGAGCTTCCGGCGAAGCTCCGATCGTCTGTTCCAGCCATGGTTAGGCTGAAATTTGTGGATTCATCCTAAAAATCTCTCTCTCCGTTTCCTCTCCTCATTTCCGAACCTGGTATGTTGCAATTCATTTTTTTTTTAGTTCTTATTTTATTTTTGCATTTGTCAATTTAGTTTTATTTTTATTTGAATTTATGTTTGTATATACATGTTTGTTCAATCATGGAAAATGGAATATAAATTGAAAAATAAAAAAAAGAAATCGAAATCAAAAATTAAAAAAATTGGAAATAAGAAATAAAAAAAATGGATTGAAATTGGACCATGGGACTTGGAACTTTTGCACTGTGACATTATTTTCTGTGATATTATGGGTTGTGACCCTTGTGTTGAGGAGGATGGAAAAATATGGAGTATGGCTATCGTTTGTAGTGTAAAAAGAGAATAGGCAATTTACATATGGATTTTGATTGTGGGCTGTGTCCCTTTTGCCTTGTTGAATGGAGTTTGAGACTTTGACGTGATTGAGTTATGATTGTTTAATGGAATTTGATTTTGATTGATTTTGTTGAAATTTTGTGGAATGCATATTTTAAGGTGAACTAATGCCGAGTTTTTGTAAAAATGAACTTGTGTTGTAGTTCTAAATTTTCTAAATGGAAATTGGTTGATTTTGTGACTTTAATTTGAAATTGGAATTGGAAAAGAGCTTTAAAGAAATGTTGGAGTTGAATTGAAAAATAAATTTTTTTTTGGAAGATTGTTGCGTGATTCTAACTTGAATGGATTTGGAATTTAAATGTCATAAAATTTGAATGTTTGCTTGTAATTTGAAGCGGAAGCTTGATTGTCAAAATGGTTTTGATTTTGAAAGAATTGAATTGAAATGGAACCTTTATGAACTTGAAAACGTCTTGAATTTTTTTAAGTTGCAATGGCATATGATATTGAATATTGATGAGCATGATTCCGAACTTGTTTCATTTGTTTGTATTGAGTATAAAATGCATGGATTTTGTTTATTTCTAAGTTGTTTTAAATGCATGAAAGCATGACTAGAGTTGAAACTTGTGGTTTTGGACTTGAAAATGCAAAGTCATGATAACATGTATAAATGTGATTTCAAATGGAACCGTTTGAAAGTTTTGATCTTAAAATGATTCTTGCTTATGGTTAAGGTGCATTGTTTTGGCAAAATGGTTCTTGAATGTTTCAAATGCGTTTGTGATCACACTTGTTGGTTTCCAAATTATAAAAAAGAATTTTTGAACTTTGTTTTGAAAATGAGAAGTCGAGTTTCTTTATTCATACCTTTGTTGAATATTCAATGCATGATTCTTGTTATGAAGCTTATTTACAATGCATATGAATGTTCGGGATCCCAAAGTTTTCAAAAATTCCAAATTTGCCCCAAAAGTGTTGAAAATTTCCAAAGTTGACCAAAATGCCCTTAAATGAGTTGAAACTTGTTCCGTTTGTTTTCTCTCCATCCAATTGCATGTGCTAAGTGTTATTGAACTTATTTGTGTTCAATTCTTGATTCTTGCCATGCTAGGGCATAAGTTTGATATCTTTTGACCCCAATTGTCATGATTTTAAACTTCTCTTGAAAAATGTGTTGAAATTGACCTTCTAAACAAAACTTTTCAAAGTCAAATGTTCCAATGTTGCTTGATAAGCTTGAAAAATTGTCAAATGTGATCTTCTTTGAATAATTGTGTGCATTTTGGAATAAATTGTAACTCGTTGCTTGTATATACACATTTTGCACACACTTTTGTCACTTTGATGGTTTTAAAAGTTTGTGTGCATCTTTTGAATAAATCTTTTTGGCATCGATCTTTGAATAAGCTTTTTTTTTTTTTTTTTGGGGGGGGGGGGGGAGGAGGGGGGATATGAATGTTTGGAGTTTAAAATGCATGTTTGGGATGTCATTATTGTTCTTTAGCCTTAGTACTTATTTGTGAGCATAACTTGAATTTTAAACTGTCATTTGAGATAAGTTTGGGGGTATGTTGTCTTGTCTTGGAAAGTTGATCTTTTAAAATGCCATTTGCTTGATTATATACTTGTGATCCATTTATGAAAATCTAGTAAGAGCTTGAGACCGAGGTTCTTGGTCGGTCTTGATTTTGAGTCTTTGACCATTCTTTACTTTATTTAAGCTTTAAAAGGGGTCGCGAGCCATAAGCGATCAATTTTCTGCTTATATATTGCTTAGCGGGGTCACGAGCCATGAGTAGGATTTTGATTTTGTTGAAATGGAGTACGAGATATTTCTTTGACTGGAGTTTGACTTTGATATTTGTGCATCATTCAGATACATGTCATATAGTTGCATACCATGTCCTGGATTCATTTTTGAACTTATGCATCATAACATGCCTATGATTGAAATGTTTTGCAACCGTACAATTCACTTAGTCTTTATTTCATGATATACATGCTTCTTGAGTTCTAGGTAGATTGTTGCCATGATTATATCCTCCATGTTATCCTGCTTGCTCCATTGGTCTTAAATGTTGAATTTGTAGACATTCTTGTTTAGGAATTGATATGAAGTCATCCTATGGTCTACTTGCCATGAAATTGCAGAATCTTCTTGAGTTTTAGGTTAGTGAATGCACGTTACATCTTTTATGCACATCACATCCTATGCTTTTCCTTTTGATCCCATTTTTTGCTTAAATATTTCCAAAAGTGACTTTTCTGCCCTCTATGCTATCATTGCATTGTTTTGCATACCTGGGATTGCTTATTGTGCCATGATCTATTCATGTCTTGCTGAAACATGTTGAATGATATTCTTAAAGCTTTCTTGATCACTTCTTGCACAAACATGATCCTATATGTCTATTTTCTATTTCTACTTGATTTAGGCATGCTTTGTGTTTTCTTATCAGATGCTTACCTCATTTTATACATGTGCACTGATTTCTATACTTATTGCTTTTGTAGACGCAGCGTAGGCAAAAGAGTTTTAACAGAAAGAGAGTAGCCAGAGCTATACAGCCTTCTCCATCTCCAGCGGAGGAGTCATCTTCATCGTCTGAGGCTACTGCATCTACATCTTCAGAGCCATCTTTTATGGAGGCTCAAGGTCCCATTATCTGGGTAGTGCCTCCTCTCTTTCTCTGGCAGGAAATTGGAGCTGAAATTCAGATTCGACAGCGAGTTATTTGCTAGGTTAGGGCAGACAAAGTGGTCTTTTGATGAGCTCACCTGTAGGGCATCGATGCTATTATGACTCTGGCAGACATTATAGTCTATACCCAGTTGGTTGATTTGTTTTTCCAGCACCTCTGGATGGATAAGGATGATCGTTAGTTGATACACATGACTATAGATCGTCAGGACATTGACATTTCCATCCCTGTCAGTGCTACTGCTTGCCGATGCCCCTATCTCTCACCATTAGTCGCTGACTCTGAGGATCCTCTATGCCCTATCATTCCAGCTTATTCTGCTGAGATGACCATGGTTGCTACACTCTCTCCACAGGCTGCCTTCGAAGGTAACATTTTTGTATACCGGGTTGATATTGATCCCTGCTACTGGTCCTTAGATTCTGTGTTGCATCTCAATGCTTTTCTTTTAGGTCATGGTACACAGAGGCGAGAGGAGGGTTTACAAGCTCTATACTATTTGAGTCATGGTTACTGGATCTCTATTCCTGTTCTCATCTGGGAGATTATCCATAAGTACTGGGAAAATCTGATCTTTAAGTGCAATACCAGAGTTGATGCTTGGTCTTTCCCATTTGGCCATCTGATTACACAGTTATTGATTGACCAAGGCTATTTCTTTGACCCAGCTGAGATTGCAGAGCCTGCAAAGCAGAGAGAGAAGAGGGGTTATGACATGAAGCAGTAGAACAAGACGTTCAATGCTTGCACAAATAATAGGAAGAATAGAGAGCAGAAAAGGGAGCGAGCTCAATAGAGAGCAGAGGAGGACACAACAGAGGGATCTCAGGGATCATCATCTTCCTATAGACCTAGACAGAGGCAGTGTACTACTACTTCCACATCTATGTCACAGCCGGGTCAGCCTCTTCCTCCACATCCATCTCAGCAGGCCGGCCCCTCACATGTCCCCTCTATAGAGCTGATGCCACAGGCCGACACCCGTCACATCATGCTAGTTTAGATTCCAGCTACAGAGCTGACCTGACTCAGCTGCATTCAGACTTTACTTCTTTCAGAGCTGACATAACGGAGCGGCATGATTAATGACGAGGCGGCACGACGATTTAGCTAGGAGGTATGATGACTAAGCCAGGCAATCTGACAATCTGACTAGAGCTGTAGCAAATGCGAGGAGAGAAATTTCAGAGTTGAGGACAAACATTCAGACGTCTTTTACTTGCCATAGCCGGGAGATGTCAGATATGCTCCAGATTATTGCCGACATGCTTGTGCCAGATGCTGCACCATGATTCTACCATTATCTCTATCTCTATTACTCATTTCTTACCCTGCTACATTTTGATACACTGCTATTTCTGGGATATTTTTGCACTGTTTTGATATTTTGCACTGGTTTTGGATATTTTGCACTACACTTGATACACATGGTTTTTGGATATTGGTTTTGGATTTATTTTCACGGATTTTTGGATTTTTGATATTATTGATTTTGGTTTTGGATATTCTGAGCTTTATATTGCTATATGCTATGGATTTTTGCTTAGTTCTCCATTTCATCTCTCATTTAGATTACCGATGCCTATGCTTTGACAGTTGCTAGTGTGATTATTTTTAGACAGTTTTTAGAATCCAAGTTTGGGGTTGCGCCTTCCAATGCTAATCTTCCGTTGCGGGGTCCTATTTGCTACACTCATTTGGTATACTCTTTCCATTATCTGTTGTTTTTTGGTACATTGAGGACAATGCACAGATTAAGTTTGGGGGTGTGTTAGCATATTTTACATGTCGCACTGAGCTTCTATGCATGTGGTATGATTTGAGAGTTTTAGCTATGATTTTGATCTTTTGAGGACCATCATACTTAGAATTTAAAAATTATTTGACTTGAGAGTCTAATACTCCTTTTATGCTTTGTGGATGTCATTTAGAAGTAAATTTTTCGAAAGATTGACATCTTGCTTGCATTTGTGGTCCACATCATGTTGATTTTGTGATTGTTTTGAGATTCACTCTAGGATTTTATACTAGCACAGACGCACACTAGCATTCATTTGTGGGGTACATGCTTTGTTGATTATTGATTTGGTTATATCCCAATTGAGCTAGTAGTGCTTTGAAAGCTTTTATTCTTGATAAAGGTGGATAACAAACTTTTTTCATTAAGTAGTCGGGATTCTAGCCTCATCAAGTATTGAATTTCTCGCGTTGAAAGGTGGAGGGCCTAAACTCTAGGTTCCAAAAAAAGAAAAAAGAAATTTGCAAAAGCAAATAAAGTTAGGACTTCTTACCAAAGGTGAGGAGTAGGAAATGATTACATGGAGGTTGTTTTGATTTATAACCTAACTGATTTGAGCTTGTAAGTCCTTAAGGGTGTCTCTGCACCTAGTATCCTAAAACCGTCCGGTTTAGGAGTCATTGTAACAACCCTGAACTGATACCATCTAATTTTTTTTTTTTTTTTTTTGACATGACCTCTGCTAAAAAGGGGCTTTCAACAACTTGCTTAAAAAAAAAAAAAAAACGTAATGGCCTTTCTTGGCCCTGCAAAACTTATCCAACCTGTCCCAATACACAATACAAATAATACATTCCAGCATACCTTTCATTCATTCATTACACCACAACATAGTTCATCTCATGGTGGAACATCCACATACCATTTAATTTAAATGTCATAATTACAGTCCCAAAAATATATGGTTAAGATCTAAAGTTCATGTCTTACAACGTTTAGATAGCTTATACTAAAGTGACAGCCCATAAATATAATTACAATAATAAAAGTCCACAAATCTCTATACCGAATATAACAAACTAAGGTTTTACAAAAAAATATGGGACTTTGATACAAAAATAGCAAAATGGTCTTCTAATCCAAATTAGGCCTGTGGTGGAACGTCATCCGCCATTTCTTTCCCGTTTCCTGAAAAAATGTTAAATATAAGGGGTGAACAAAATTGCTTAGTAGGTGGTGCCTAAGACACACCTCTTGTGGCCCCGTGAATCTAAATAATAAATAGAAATAGAGGATAGGGATTATGCTATACCGGAAAAAAAATACAACATAAATTCCAATTTCAAATAAACAATGACATGCCATGATATGCAATGTCATGTATGTCGCTCCCCATTTTCAAAATCATCCATCATTTCACAAACTGTTAATATAACCCGTCCTTTGGTGACTCTGCATCGACACGAGAGAAGGGTTGGCTATTGTCCCTGACCCTTGGTACCCCGCGGTGTCATTTGGGGCCCAGGTAGTTCAACCACGCTAAGGTATTTTCCCTTAATTCTCTCTAGGTTACATTAACACACCGGCCCTTTGGTGACTCCGCGGTGACTGGGTTTTCATAAAACCATTTAATCAAATTTCTCCCAGAAATCCCCTTTCATTTTCATTTCAAAACACTTTGCCCTTTTCATTCATGCCCAATGCTATGAATGCATGTCACATATTTTTATTTATTTATTTATTTATTATTATTTTTTCAATGATATTAGAATAAAAAAAAAATTCACACCACACAATTTAACATGCTCCTTCATAGCAACTTCTAGAGAATTAATAGATACCGTAGGCATGAAAATTAACATCTAAGCATACTTTTCACATAATTTCATCAACACATATAAGCATAGTCTTCAAATACAACAACTATATCATTTTTCAAGACAATCAATTCAAATAAAGCATGTTTTCCATGTAAATAAGCAATTACATATAATTGAAGGCTTCATAAACGCAATTAAATCATTTAAAAAAAATAATCAACTCAAATTAATCATGCTTAACGATAATTAAAGTTGAAAAAACTCACAAAGGAGTAAGAAAGTGAGATTAAAGACCCCTATCTCAAGATTATGCAAAACCCCCAAATTTATGCCCTAGATTTCGAATTTCCTATTGTGCACCAACCAAGGAATTGCTTCTATCAACTTGTAGGTCTCGCCGTGAACTTCAATTTGCCGCAAAAGGCAATCAAAAATTCCAAGGGTTCAGGGAGAAATCAAGGTTTAAAATCTTGAAGTAAAGAAAAAGAAAAAAAAGAAATCTGAGAAGTGAGAGAGACAAACCAGCTGGGAGAGAGAATGAGACAATAGAGAGCAAAAAATGTGGTCTCATGACCACTTAAAAAAGTTGTGGGTCCCACCTATTTTTTTATTTTTTATTTTTCCTTTTTCTTTGATTCTCATTTTACACCACATAAAAATATATATACACATCTACTTCAAAATCACATAAAACACATTAAATAAAATGATTATGATGCAAATGGACCCAATTAAAATCCCTATATGCAACAATTCCGGTAGCGGGTTCCACACGGGATCGTCCGGTCCGAAAAAGCAAAAATGCGAAAATAACCACCCTTACATTTCAAAGAGTCCTGGACTCAATGAAATGCTCCAAACAACTCTCAGACACAACCGGCACACTCCGCAGTGCCCGGTTTGCAAAACGGTAAAAGACGAAAATGCCCTTGCAACAACAGAATTCCAGAAAAATGAAAAATGGAGAAAATTGGAAACATCACAGTCATTGACTTAATGATCGCCTTATGAATCTTCTAGAATGCTTAAGAGATCACTACATTGCACCGTGCTTCCATCTTTGATTTAAAAAAAAAAAAAAAAAAAATCGAGTGAAAATAATAAGTGCACCTAGTTGAATAAAACTTTAATAAAAAGTTCTGATAAGCGCTGAAAAGTGCACATTTAAACCCCTTAAGCTTAAATGTTCTAAGACCTTATTCTATCTTATTTTTCCGTTTTAGTCTAATTTCATGTTATGTCCCTTTTCAGGCACTTATCTCCAAAATAAGTTAATTTAGCTAATTAGAGCATTTAAAGAAGCAATCTTAAGCTTAGTGGAAGAAATGAGTAAAGTGGAAGCAAAATGGCGCAAGAAGCCTTCTTCGATCGATCAAACCAAGTTCCGATCGATCACACTGTGATCGTTCCAACCATGTTATAATGGATCGAGCCTTTTGTCCTTATCTTCAGGAAAATTTCTCTTTTGATTGATCCAACCTTTCCTTCGAACGATCGAACACTTTTGATCTTATCCTCACCTACCACTTTTGTCCTTTTCCCAAAAATATCCCAAAAATATCTCAGCTTTGTCTTATCCAAAAAGGCGCCGCCATAGTTCGATCGATCCAAGCAACCTTGTGATCGATTGAACTGCCTCAAGTGCGTGAAAAACAGAATTCTAGCCAACTCAAAGGTGTGTTTGTGGTGCAATCATTTGGAGGTCCTAGTGCACGAGGTTTGACCATTGGGTGTGACATTTGAACTACCTGTATAAGGATTTTGGCTATTTTGAGTAGATATAGAAGAGAGAGGTTGATTAGTTTTAGAAGAGGCTAGAGATTAGAGAGAGAAATATACATTTTGGGAAAGTTCTTCCATTCATCAAGGGTTTCTACTAAGAACATAAGAGAGGGAGGATGATTTCTACTATGGAGATAGCCCTTGAAGGTTGGAAGACAACATCAATGAGTGGCTAAACCATTCTCTTGGGGGAGATAGCCCTAAGCATGCCTCCTAGACTTTGATGTTTGTAATTAATGGGGATTTGTGGTGTAATTATTGTCTTGACATTTTATATATATAAATCTTGTTTTTACAATGATTTGTGTAGCTTAATACTTCCAATTGATCATTTAGTTCTATCCATATGTCTATGTATGCTAGAATGAATGTTCATGTGTTTATTTCTAGATTTTGTGACATTGATGCATGTCTATGTGTGTTTATATTATGAATCTAGTGATGATCAAGACATGACGCTTAAATAGATTACTCTTGTGGTTTATTTGATGGTTTATACTTATTTCTTGATGGATTGTGCCACCTCCTTAGTTTAATTAGTTTAATTTTCATGTCATTAGCTTAGTTGTAGTGTAGTCGCCTTACTTTTTTAGATAAGTGGACAATCCATGCTTGTTGTTTGATGTTCCATGCTCATGAATGCAAGTAGTATATTTCTCTAATTTAATGAGTGTGCATTAATTGTGGACTTATGGAAAGATTAATGACTTAATTTAATATGTTGTGCTATTCACTAGATTGACTAGACAATGTATGCTTACTTGGCCATCCATGCTTGATATTCAGTTAATGGCATACACTTTCATTTACAACATATAATCCCTCTAATCCATCGAATATTGAATGTCTAGGAAGGTAATGTTTAGTGGTGAACTCTATGTCCCAAGACTCATCTCTTATATTCTTTACACCTCATATTGCTTTAGTTGTTTTATATTGCATTTATTTAGTTTAAATTGTAGTCTAATTCAACAACCAACCATCGTTTAATCATTCGACTTACTAATCCAACATTGATTTCTAATAAAAAATACGCTTTCTTTCCCTTGGGACGATCCCTACTTACTTTAGTTACATTAATAGTTAGTAGTGGTAGTGGAATTTTATAAATTCAAACTTAGCCACATTTTATTTCACTACATTTTTGCAACTAGGTACGAGACAC